TCTACTTGGTCCATGCTTGGAGCACAGGAACTATTTTGTGAGGCTGCCTCTTCTTCCTTGATCAGTTCCCATGTGTGGCCTGTAGGTTGGGTTTAACCCACAGGCACTGTAATGGACTGACTATGCTACCTCCCCCAGTGCATATGTTGAAATCTTAATCCCCAAGGTGATGGTATTTGGATATGGGGCCTTTGGAAGGTGCTGCGGTAACAGGGCAGAGCCATCAGAAATGGGATAAGTGCCTTTATACAAGAGGTCCTCAGAGCTCCCTCACCCCTTCCACCATGTGAGGACACAACAAGATGACTGTGAACTGGGAAGCAAGCTCTCACCAGACACTGAATCTTCTGGTGCCTTGATCTTGGACTTTCAGCATCTAGAACTGTGAGAAATAAGTTTCTGTTGTTTATAAGTTTATTAGAGGCCTGATACACGAAATTCGTGCAAGAGTAGGCCTTCCTTCCCTCTGGCACCTGGTTTCCCTTGCAGCCCCGGCTTCATCCAGAAGGTTGTCCTTCAGAAGGACATCCGGTCTAATTAGCATATTACGATTTTATTATTATAGATGTTATTTTTGTTTTAGTATCCCCAATGGACTAGGACAAGTACATTTAGTTTGACCTGGACATTTGAGCCAATTAAAAATTAAGAGTTTGTGGCTCAGTTGATTGGAGTATCATCCTGTACACCAAAGGGAAATGGGTTCGATTCCCAGTCAGGGCACCTGCAGGATTATGTTTCTCTTTTGAATCGATAGTTCTCTCTCTCTCTCTCTCTCTCTCTCTCTCTCTCTCTCTCTCTCTCTCTCTCTCTCCTCCCTCCCTCTCCCTCTCCCTCTCCCTTTCCCTTCCTCTCTCTCTAAAATCAATAAAATATAAAATAATAATAAATAATATAAAAGTTAAGAGTTTGTAACAAACTTTAGATTTGAAAAAGGCAGCAATCCTGTTACCCTGCAGCCCCTCGAGGTGGGCCATTTCCCTCCTCACAGTCTTCTACAACCAGCTATGCTTCCTCATTTAGGCCACCTATCTAGACCCCGTATGTGTCTGAGTTGTAACTCCTGGCCTAGATACAAACATTTATTTTCTGGAATCTTAAGTATTCCTACCCCTGTCTGTTGCCCCACCTACTGAGAATGGTGTGTGCAGGTTATTTCTGCTCTAGAAACTCAAAAATTCTCTTTCTCCCTCTGATGCCTCCCATACTCTCTCTCTCATTATCTCAGTCAGGTGTATCTTGTCCTCATCTGAAGGAGACTCTACCTTCCTCATGCCATCCAATAAAACATTTTGTTCATGCACATAAATTCCTTTCTCCAAGGGATTATGCTTTTGGAACACAAAAACCAGAAAGACTGGGAAAGCTATTTTTATTTTCTGTTGCATTCCTTGAGGAAACGAATAGGAATGCAACAGAATAAAGGCAGGGAATGGGGGTGGGGAGGGGCAACTCCATTCTAAGTTAATATATAAAAATATACAGCCATGATTACTTGTTGAACAAAATAATACATGCTCACCATGAAAGTTCACACATTACAGAGGTGATGCATCAGAAATGTTCCCAGATAGCCCACCACCCAGAGACGACTACTGTTCACATATTCTATCAGAATTGCTGTTATGATTTTTTAAATCAGAAATAGGATCATACGATGATATTGTTCTATACTTTGATTTTTTTCTACTTAACAATATATTGTGAACACCTATTCATGTCAGTCCACACTGATTATCTCATTGTTTTTATTGGCAACAAGTGTCCCTAATATGATTGAACCATTGTTTATTTCTCCAATCCCCCAGTGATGGACCATTTGGTTGTTTTAAATTTCTATTATAACAGAAGCAGTGAACATTTCTCTACATACATCTTTGTACAACTTGTACAAGCATGTCCCAAAGAGGATCTGCTGGGTCAAGGAGCATGTGCATTTAAAATTTTGGCAGATACTGCCAATAAATCCCCCAAATTTTACAGTGTCAGTTATATTGCATTATAATTTTGATTTTTTCCCATGTCTTTGACAACATTAAACTTTATCAAGTAAAACTGATTTGAATAATCTCTTGCTATTAAAATATGAATAAAATATACTTTCTGCCTTAGAAAAGATATACAAAGTATGTTGGCAACAATGGAAACTTTCTTTAGTAAGATTTTTGATGTATTTCATTAATGAGATGATTGGTGAAACATTAGCAGGAGGAAGAAACAGGGTGGGGAAGCCCACAGAGGTCAAGTCCAACCTGGGGTGTAGCAGATGAGGCCAGCCCCGAAACATGTGATGGGGATGGAGGAGGTGTGTGATGTGAGAGAACCAGAGAAGAAAGAGGGGCAGGAGAGAATATATGTCCACGGGGGCACCAATCTATGGGGGAGGTCAGTTTTATACAGATACCACCTTTACAATTTTTAAATATCAAATCCATGTCTAAACCCTAGTTTCAGAATGTTTTTATTGATTATTGAGAAAATTCTAGCATAGCAAGAGAGAAGTTATGAAAACATAACATTGGGCCCTAGGTGTCAGCAGCTGGCAGATGGAATATTTCTCTCAGAAATAATACAGAAAAGACAAAAGGGAAATAAGTTAGTACATTTAACCTATCTCCCAGATCTAAGTTTAAAGCTAAGTGAATTCTCAACATTTCTGATCAGACCAGATCTCTGGAACCTGCTATCATATCTCTCTGTCCTTTACCTTCATAGAACTCATCACAATTCGTCATCAATTTATTAATCTTCACCTCTCCATTCAATCATAAACTCTAACATAGTGTCCTGAAAGCCTCACAGAGGGCTCTATCACATATAGTGTTGTTAAATAGTTGATGAATGAAATAAAGAAGGAAGAGAAAGAGAAGGGAATTAGGAAGGGAATGAAAGGGGAGGAGAGAGGAGAAGAGAGAAGAAGAGAGGAGAGAAGACACAAGAAGAGAAAGAAAGATCAAAAGAAAAACTAGGTGGGGAGTAGGAGCAAACCAACTGGCTGGTGTACACAGTCTGGAATGGAATTCCACTGGTTATCAGTACCCTAGGGTGATAGAGGAACCTGGGGTACATTAGAGATCTGGGCAGTAGGGTTCAGTAGGTTCCTAGCTTTTTGATGTGAGTAGTCTTTGAGATCATTGTGTGTGTTGCTAAGCATTAGGGACTTAGCTGTCAGACATGGGGTAACCCTGCAAGTTATCAGTGAGGATGCTGTTTATAAAATGTCCAGCTGGCCTTGCATTGGTTTAAGGAGAAAAACTGAGATGGGGCTAGATTTGGGACAAAAGTTAAAGAGTTCAATAATGTAAAAAATGTATTTGAAAAATAAGATATGTAAAAGCTCTCTATTAACTAGTTTTTTGGTTTTTTTTTACTCTAGGTAACCCTCTGACTGAAAATAGGATAAATATTTATAAGTAAAATTTGTAAATAAATATGATAACATTCTTCTGAATACCAAATACCAAAACAACAACAAAATACAACCCCCCCCCCACCTCCTGCCAACAAACACCTGCAGTATCTGATGGAAAACGCTACTCAAGCTTTTGTTGACTTGCTCATGAGTCAATTAAATTTATTGAGTTACTGGTTTTAAAACATTGAAATTAGGTATTGCAGGAGATCCAAGGAATGTAAAACTTGTTTTATTTATTCATGGTTTGAAATCTAATTGGAAGACAGAATTCAAAAACAAAAAATTTGAATAACTTAATAAGGTTAGAGTATTAGAATGTATTATCATTAAGAAAAAAACCTCTATCATGATGTTTCAAAGACAATTGGAAATTGGGGCAATTATTGGCATGTGCAGAATTCTGAGTACTGTGTACTGTGAATTCTGGAATGACACTGGCCTGAGACATGAGAAATAATATTGTCTGCTACTTACTGCTCATATTGCAAGTCCAAATAGTAAGACAGAAGGTAGCCCATATTATTATCTAATTACAGTAGAAACTTGTTTGATTTGCCTGGGCTTATACATATGGTGACCATTTGGCAATTTTAGACTCACTGCTTATAGAACATTTTAAGTAAAAGCAATAAAATGAACAGACTTTGGACTTTTAGCTAGGTCATTTTTCTGCATAGACGGCCATTTCTGTTTCATACTGAGAGATTTAGCTGGCAGTCTTAGGAAGTTTGCATGAGAGTAATGTTGACTCCAAAAGAAACTTGGAGAATGTGAATCTGTGTTCAAAGTTCAGCCAAAATGAAGTAGCTCCATGTCAGTATGATTTGCCAATAATAATGTTATAAAAAATGTTTTCCGGAAGCCAGTCTTTTTTTTTTTTTCTGTATGAAATAACTCAAACCATACTTAGTAAACAGAAGTTCTGGATGTAATTTAAAACAATGGATCACCACATCATGCCACACATGAATAGAAAGTTGAAAATTGAGAACTTACTCATACAAAGGTCATTGAGAAGGTTTTCCACAATAATGGTACTTGAGTAAACAAGTCTTCATTGAATGCCTTTTATGTGGTCAGCTTTAGGACAGGATGGTGGAGGATGGGAAGGGGGACTAAAGAAGGATCGTACCTAAGACACGGTCCCTCTCTGATTTGGAGGAATAAGCAAGAAGCGCATGAAACTGCCAAGGAACAATACAAAGCAGTGTGCAGTTATGTATCTAAATGATAAGTGAAATATATGTAAGTGTGATGGATGGTCACGGAAAGTGAATGTAGTCAAGCTTGGAGGGGTTTTCCTGGACTAGACAAGCTGTGGAGAGGGAAATTGGACAGAGGTACATTCCAGAAGGGGGCAGCAGAAAGCAAGAAGGATGGCATGTAAAGGAGGGAGGAGAAGACTAGTCTGGCAGGATGATGGGGTCAGAGTGATCAGGGCACTTACTAGCAGATGGAAGTCTTTGCTTCTGTGCCCGTATCTGCCTTATTGTATCCATCGCTTTTGCTTTATACCCAACTCCATCTCTTAGTGCTGCCTGGACCATTTGCTTATTCTGAATATTGTGTTTCTTCTCTCCGCCAGCTGTTTTTATACCATCCCAGAAGTTCGATTACTTGGATTGAATCCTGGCTCCTCCACTTACCAGTGGGCAAATTATTTAACTTCTTTGTGCCTTAGTTCCTTCATCTTTAAAGAGGAGATAATAATGGGTCAAACTCATTAATGAATATAAAGTTTTTACAACAGTGATTAACACATAGTAAACAATCAATGAGTGTTAGCTATAATGTCAATTATTCCTTGATTGGTGTTGAGGACCATTTCAAAATCTAAGCCAGTGACATATGAGATAATCTTGGAGGCACTAATAACAATCCAGGATGTGGGGAAGAGAGGTTGAGTGATGGGGAGACCTTGGAATGGTGGCTTCTTCTAGCCATGCCTCCACCTTGACCTTCATACAAGTTTTCCTCCTGGGGAAAGTGTCAGAACAGTGCATGGCTGGTGGGCAACTTGACCTCTTAACCCTTTTTAATAGCAAGCAACTTACAGAAGTAATACAATTCAACTTGTATTTCCTTTGATTTTATTGGTCTGAACTCATTTTAGGTAACTTGAACATTTTAATTTCCTGTACATGAGACTACAATGACCTAAGAGAATACTGAACCAGAGTCAGCCAAATATATTACTGACCCAAAGTTATGTTTAATTGGTCCTAAAGGAATGTACCACACCAACAATTTGAGAGTTAGGCAAACAGAACTTCTCTGAGAAGGAAAGAAAAAGGCTGTAGAACAGCCAAATGTATTCAACATTGTTAAAACGGCTCTTGTTTATCACCTCTGAATGATACCTGTTTACTACATTATATGCACAGAAATCCTAACAGAACCTTGGTTACACCAGTGTTATTTAGGCTGGCCCACTCCAGGATAGATCCCCACCCCTTCCCCCAAGTTCCCCTTTCTGAGGCTCTGAAAAGCACAATATTTACCTATTTCTTAATAAACTACTGAAACACTTCAGAAACAAGTAGCTCACAAATCATTTTAAATTCATGTATTGCCTGTGCATGCGAAATCTGATAAACCCAAAAGATAGATCTATTTTTATATAAAGGTCATGTATCCCCATAGCCTCTGCCAGTACCAGTGTCATCCCTACACAATGACCCTGTCCGACTCCCACACCCTCAAGAAATGTTTCCAGAGATGGTGATAGTTGGGAGCAGAGGACTGCGAAGGTTGGTTTTAACTATGGGCAAAAAAGAAATACTGAACAGAGACAAAATAAGATGAAAACATCTTCTGAAAATAATTTAAGCAACTGATTCTATAGATAGAAGAGATGATACTTAGACTTAGGCAACCAGTTCTATGGACATGGAATTTAAGGAATGGGAAGAGAGGAAGAGAAGACAAAGAACAAGCAACCAAAGAGAAAGGTAATGAACCAGAGCAGATGCCCTTATGGAAGCCATGAGAACAGTTTCAAGCAGAAGGATGTTTTATATGTGACCCAATTGAATATTCAATTCCCACCTCAGAATCAGTGACTCCTCTGCCTATGGTTTAAAAAACATTTCTCACAAATCCTAACATTCTGTGACTGACAACTCTTTAAGGAAGTTCTTGTGGTTTTACTCATTGTTGGTAAACTCTCCTGCCCACTCACCACCTTTAACACTGGAGTTAACCACTAACCTCAGATCATCCCGGTTCATAGAGCACCTACCACCCATTCTCTCTTCCACTAGTCTGTTTACTTCTCCTTTCCCAGAGCAGAAGGGCCAATTTCATTTATAATCATGATGATTATTTTAAATTATTTGCATCTTTAAATGATGTAGTTCTTGCATATACTTTGTAGAATTTTGATTTCCTTCCTCAGCTTCTGCATTTCCAGTTGCATTTCATGTGTGGTAGACTGCTGTGTAGCTGCTGATTCATCATGGTCCCCTGAGCAAGTCACTTGACCCTCTGTTCCAAGCTTCTCATTCAAGAAATTATCAATTAATTTTTAATGAAAGATCTCAGAATGATTATAAATTTATTCAAGTCTCTTCTTTCTTCCTCTCTGATGCCATCATCTTTTTCCTTTCCCTAGCTCTTCTTGCAGCTCCCTGAAGGTAGCCATACTCCAGGGCTCACGTTGTGGCTCTCTGCTCTTCTCTTTCATTGGATTAATCTACTCTAAGAGCTTTATATATCTGCTCTGTGCTGATGTCTTCCAATCTGTACCTCTGTCCTTCTCACCTAAACTCTAGTTCTGCATCTTTCATTGCCCCCTTTTGGGTATGTCACTGTCAGTCCAAGCTGAGCATGTCCAGACCCAACATGGCACCATTTGCCAGTCACTGGGACTCTTGTCTGAACTTTCCTTTTCCCTCATCCTTCTACACATTCAGTTGATGAGCCCTAAAGATTATGTCTACTTCTCACATATTTAATGATAAGAATCATATCTTGCTCACCTATAACTTTCTATAATTCTATATGTTTAAAAATATCAGGCATTCAATAGAGATATGTTTGAATTTAGTAGTTGAGTTGCAAAGAAAGTGTTCCATGCTCAAATACATTTATACAGCCCCAAGTTGAAACTAATCAGGATTCCTTAGTAGATTGATAATGGTTATTATTAATTCCTAAAAGAGGCATTATAGTATGGGAGTCAGTCCAAATTTAACTGACTTTAGGACCAATTTTTCACCAATTTGTGTCTTCCTGAACAAAGTTCCTCAGGACAAAATGTGTTATATGTTGTGTTAATCCTAGCTGTTTTACTATTCACGTGTAAAGATACAAAAAATAAAATCAGCCGAAACCGGTTTGGCTCAGTGGATAGAGCGTCGGCCTGTGGACTGAAAGGTCCCAGGTTCGATTCCGGTCAAAGACATGTACCTGGGTTGCGGGCACATCCCCAATAGGAGATGTGCAGGAGGCGGCTGATCGATGTTTCTCTCTCATCGATGTTTCTAACTCTCTCTATCTCTCTCCCTTCCTCTCTGTAAAAAATCAATAAAATATATTTTAAAAAAAATCTTTAAAAAAAAATAAATAAAATAAAATAAACATGGATCAAAGTGTTTAGATAAAACACACGCTTACATATATACATACACATATAACAATTTAAAAAGCTATAAGAAAATATAAGTGAACATTTCTCAACCTTGTGGCAGGGAAGACTTTTGTAAGTATAACATGCATAGAAGAAACCATAGCTATTGACATATTTAACTATATACATTTAAATTTGTAAAATGTTTCTATACATTAAAAAAATTAAAATTAACTTAAACACCAAAGATAAAAGATTATGAATAAAACATTTGCAATGTATGTGACACATTAAAAAAATGAATATCTTTACCATTTAATAAACTTTTAAAAAATAAGAAAAAGATGAACATCCCCAAAAGTAAAATGGGCAAAAAGACGTACACTAACCACTCATAAAAGAAGAATTAGGAATGGTTAATAATATTTGGAAAAAATTAAACTCAGTTATGTATTAAGTGAAATACAAATAATATAAAAAATTTGATGAGAATGTGGGGGATAATTGACACGGTGTTACAATACTGGCCGAGGATCAGATTTGTAGAATTATTGGAAGAGTAATCTGGCACTATTTATCAAAAGCTTTAAAAAGTGGGCTTCTCCTTTTGCCCAACAAATCTACTTAAAGGGATTGATGGTAAGTAAATATGCAAACAAGTATTAAAAATGAATGTACGACGGTATTCATCATAATATCTATCTATCTATCTATCTATCTATCTATCTATCTATCTATCTATCTATCTATAAAAGCCTAAGCGACCCTTACAACTGGACAACCAGAACGACTGGAACAACTGGTCGACCAGTTGCTATGACATGCACTGACCACCGGGGAGCAAATGCTCAATGCAGGAGTGGCCCCCTGGTGGTCAGTGTGCTCTTACAGCCAATCTCCCACAGCCAGCCAACCTCCCGTGGCCCCTCCCCCTGGCTGGCGGGAAGAGGGGCCACAGGAGGTTGGCCACCAGCCCTGATCGGGACTGGGCAAGATGGCCTTAATTGGCCCCAATTGCTGGCCAGGCCTAGGAACCCCACCCATGCATGAATTCGTGCACTGGGCCTCTAGTTGTTTATAAGAGTAAAAGATAGAAAATAGCCTAATTGTCCAATTACAGGTAGAATTTTATATACCAACAATTAGCAGTAGGTTCTCTGGATTAGGGGTTAGAGGCAACTGATTTTTTTCTTTGTACTTTTTGTGTTTCTAGGTTCAGCATGCATTTTCTTAGACATAAGTGACTTTCAGTTATTTTTAAAAGTGAGCAATTCACATATAATGTAATGTCCAAGTTTCTGGATGAGGGAATGGAATGTACTAACTTGAATATCTGACATCATTGTTTTATATTTTAATTCCCCTTTTAATTTTCCCATTTTCCCCATCTTCTAGTAAAAGAGAGAGAGAGAGAGAGAGAGAGAGAGAGAGAGAGAGGGAGAGAGGCAGGCTATGAGGAAATTATTTCTAGATGTGATTTTCTAACTTTTCTGCCACAAAATCCTTCTTTTCCCTAAATAATCCACGCCTTCTTCTGCCTCTATGTGAACTTCCTTTCTTTGAATCTCAAGTTCTTTGGCTCCCTTTCTCCCAGTTCCCACTCCATTCCTGAATAGAGTCTGAAAGGAAGATCCCAAAGTAGTCCAGACCCTGCCTGTGGGGTCAAGGCTTGCCCTCTTTTGAGAGACAGGGAGATTTTTACTCTAACTCAAGTGACAAATGCACTCCCAAACTACGGTGCTCAATCTTGCTTCACTGAGAACATATAGCACATTTTGCATGCAAATCACTACTCAGCCTAAGAATCTGCCTCTGTAATGATAAAAGATGTGTTTTCAACTTGCCACAAGGTAACCATTTCTCTGAAGTTAAGCTAAGCAAAATGAAAGATTTGTTGATGATTCTTTGGCTCCACCACAACCACTTTTTCTCTTTTATTCTTTGACCTCTTCTCAGACTCCTGCTCTGACTCTTGACACTACCCAATTCATTTCTAAATGTCTCCCCAAGGTACTGACCTCAGCCTTTCCTTCAACATTTTCTGCCCAGACATCTTTTCTGCTTTCTACATCTTCAGA